GGACATTGCTGTCCCTGCATGCCCATCTCACCTTCCCATCCTGCCTGATGCCGGGCCAGTGGTGTTGGTGCAGAGGATGGGAATTATCCCAGCTGCTCTGTGCCCTTCATCCTGCCAGCGAGCCGCGGCACATGGTTGCTGTTTGCTGAGGCTCCTGCCTTGTGCTGGGGCACCTGGCTGTCACAGGCTCCACCGTGCCGTGCAGGGCTGCGGCAGTACCCTGGGACAAGGCTGTTCTGGTGCGGTGCCTGCTGTGCCATACGTTGGGGGCACTCACCGCTGCTTCCCCACAGGTCGCTGGTACGTGCAGCCCCTCACCTACCACCTGGAGGGCCAGCCCGAGGCCGAGCACCTCCTTCGAGCCACCGTGGTCTACCTGCCCAGCCTGCCACTGGCCCACGGTCGCCTCCTCTGTGCCCTGGAGCTGGCGGCCACCAGTGAGGCACCCGGGATGCTGCTCGGCCCTGCCGCTCACCCCCGCCATGGCTGGGCCGAAGCAGATGTCACACCTTACCTGGTGCTGGGAAACGTCAGTGTGGGGAGTCTAGCACTGCGGCATGTCTGTGTGCGTGCTGGCCGGGTCAGGGGCCATGATGCCCCAGTGGCCCCTAGCCACCCCTTCCTCCTCCTCTACCTCAACGACACCCAGGCTGGGCTGACACCTCCGGCAGCAGAGCCTCGCCGGCACCGGCGTGACACGAGGATGCTGGCCCATGACCTGCCTGGCTACCTGCGGGAGCAGGGAGGGGAGAAGAGCGATTGCTCCCTGCGCCCCTTCCCCGTCAGCTTTGCCCAGCTGGGCTGGGACCACTGGATCATCGCTCCCCACCGCTACAACCCGCGCTACTGCAAGGGTACCTGTCCCCGTCTGCTCCGCTATGACTACCACGCACCCAACCATGCCGTAGTGCAGAGCTTTGTCCATCAGCTGGTGGATGCCAACGTGCCCCGGCCCTCCTGCGTCCCCTACCGCTACAGCCCCATCAGCGTCCTCATGATCGAGCGTGACGGTGGCATCCTCTACAAGGAGTACGAGAACATGATTGCAGAGTCCTGCACCTGCCGGTAATGCCCACTATCCCGGCACATCACCCCCAGGCTCTGCCTGTCCCTGCCGGATCTGGACTTTAGGGCTTGTCTTGCTCTGCCTGGGGCGAGTTTGTCCCCCTTCCCTGCACAGCACTCCTCTGCAGGAAGGTTTTACAATGGCAGTTTTATGTAAATTGTAGGTTTTTAAAGGCAGGAGCCTGTGCTGGGGCAATTGCCCTGTGGCATCTGTCCTTCCTGCAGCCCCATGGCCGCTGCCTGGTTTTGGGGGGCAGGGGGGGCTTGGCCTGATGCTCCCAGGGAAGAGCTGGGTCCCTGGACTGGAGCATGAAGCTCTTAGGAGGTGGCTGGCGGTCTCCTGGTGGAGCCAGGGCAGGGAGGTCAAAAAGTTCAGGTGTCTCAATGCTTGGCACCAAGCTGGTGCCATCAGTATCTGGTGCAACCCTGCCCACGGGATTCCTTCCCAGCTCACATGCACCCCATCCTGTCTAGCCTCAGCTGCGGTGGCATCTCACTGGGCTGGGAATTGGGCTGGGGCAGGGGGAAAAGCCCCTCTCCTTCCTCTCAGTTCTGCTCTGGGGGGCTGTGAAAACTGGAGGGACTGAAGCTTCCAGCGCTGCTCCCAGTGCTGGAGCCAGGCAAGCTGCCTGCCCTGGGCTCTGCCCGCTGCTTCCTCTGCCACCCCTGTCCTTTACCTCCTTGGCTTGCCCTCAGCAGGGCTCAGGTCTCACCCCGTCCCAGGGGTTGGACCCTTGTCACGGTGTCCCTCTCCTTTCTCGCACCCTTGCTGTCCCACAGGGCTTGGGCTCTGCTGGGCTCCTGGCCTGTCCCTTTTCCCAGAGGGGTCAGTCATGCTCCCAGCACCCCTGTCGCCTGGCTTTATTTATTGCTGACTATGTAAATAAATAAATTGATGGATTTTGCTAAAGACTATCTTGGCCTGTTCTTGCTCTGTCCCTGGGGTGCAGCGGGGGCCCCCCCGGGACAGGCAGCATAGACTGTGTCACCATGCAGCCATCCTTGGTGCTTGCACTGGAAGGGATGGGTGCTTCTCCCTGCTGTGTGCAGAGAGTGAATCCCAGCTGGTTCAAGGAGGAGCTGGGAGAAGAGACTCCCCTGGGGCGTAGACCTGCTCTGGGGCAGGGGCCACCAGATGTGGCTGCAGACAGCTGCCTTGGTTGGGCTGGGCACAAGAGATGCCCCGCATCCCTTTATAGGGGGCGGCTCCCAGGGGACCATGGGAGGCTGCTGGGCTAGGCTGTCTGTCACCGTGGCCAAGGCATTTGACCGCCAGGGTTATTTTGGGAAGGTGTCTGCAGGCAAACTTGCCTGTTCCTGGGCACGATGCCCTGTGTTTGCAAAGCTGGGGCAAAGTTCCCCTTCTTTCAGCAGCAAGGCACGGGTGGCAGCTGTAATCCTTGTCCCAAAGTGCTTGGTGGCACTGCCACCTGCCAGCTGGATACTGGCTCTGCATCCTCAGCTTGTGGCTGTTGCCAGGATCTCATCTCTTGCTTGACCTCCAGCCCCATCTGTAACTGGTGGTCCAAGCTCAACGGGGATGTTTCAGCATTTCTTCCCTCCTGTGGGTGTTTGCTGTGGGGCAGGGTGCTGCCAGCCCACGTTCTTCCCCTACCCACCAGCCCCAATATTTCTTCCCCCATCCTGGCAAAGTGAGAAGCTGCAGAGCCCCAGGCTCCTCTCCTGCCCCTTGTCCCCAGTTGGCTGCATCCTGGCCACCTCCAGCCAGGAGGCTGTGGGGAGGGGAATGTCTTCTGCTTTTTTGGAAGCTTGTGGAGCTGACCTCAGGGGGAAGATTTTTTCCTTGTCAATCATTAAGCGTGCAGTGTTGACTCATCTAGGCAAGCGATGATGAAAGGCATGGGAGCTGGGCACACTCCAAGCCTTGGGCACCACTGGGTGCCAGTGCCCGGTGCTCCCCCCGGCAGGGACCTGCGCCCTGTTCTGCTGCGCGGACCTCTTGGTCCTGCTGCGTGCACAGAGACAGAGGAGCGCTGTGGTTTGTCTGTCCCAGCCCCGCGTCCTCGTATGCGCTGTGCTGGTGGGCTCTCGTCCTCGCTGGGCTGGACCCCTTCCCAGGGTACCCCCAGATACCAAGGGTCTGCCCCAGCAGTGTGACCTCCTCTGGACTGGGGGTAGGGCAGGCGCTGCCAAAACTATGGAGGAGCAGCAGTTCAGGGAAAAAGCTGCTGTCCCCGTCTGACCCTGGCACTGTGCCTGCATCAGCACCAGGGCTGCCAGGGCAGAGCAAGGTGGAGGGTGCAGGGCCCCCAGCCCAGTGCCCTCGTGCACCTTGGGGGGTGGCTCTTCCTGCGGGTCCCGCAGCCATGCGAACTCCCCGGGCACAGCCTGGCACGCGATCGCTACCAGCCCTGCAGGGAGCACCAGGAGCCCCGGCTTTCGGGACATGCCCCCATCCCACGCTCTGGCAGGGGTCTTGCCTGTGAGGCTGTTGCCTGTGCTGGTGGCTGCACCGGCCCCCCGGTCTCCCCCAGGCC